AAACTGCGATGTTCATATAATATAGTCATTTTCACTAGCTCTTTGGAGACCCTTTCGATGATGTCTCTCAAGTCTTGTGTGATGGAGTCAAGAAATGAACCAAGACCCGTTTCGTCCTGTACTAATTGCTGCAGGACAGCAAAGTACGTGTGTAAGAAGGGATAGACCTACAACTACACACAAATGGGCACTGTGATAAGATTTGTTGGGACGTACTTTCGTTACCTCGATTTGGAAAGCTAATTGCTTCAGTGACCAACTCTTTTATTAGGGCTTGCGTTACAGTTATTCTCTCATTTATGGACTAGTTACTTTGGTTGCATCAGGGACAACTTCCACCCAATTCTGTTCTTGGACTTGCTTGAAGTTTGTTCCTCTTTTAAAATCAAACTACATGTTTCTGTGTAGTCAGCCCTCATGAGCTGCAAAAGACCATCGCGGGAGAGAGTTGTAAGAACGTCAGGAATCATGTGCAACCCCGCGTCCATAAAACTACGAAGATACGCGCTGAATTAGAATGATATCGGCTTATTGTGAAATCGAATAGCCTATGTAAGGTTTTATGCACATGCTGTCATGAATGCAACTCGTCGGTGCATCTAAAAGCTCAAGTGGTAAGCAAGCTTGTACCCTTCGCTCGGGCCCTGAGTTCAGATCACCACGCTCGTGCTTTTCCCCTCGAGGCCGCCCCAAGGAGCACAACAGACTTGTGACGTCGGATTAGTTAATCGGGTAAATTCGAAGGAGCGTTGTCACATCTAATAAGAATTCCACGGCGTTCAAAGCGCCTGAAACGCTGTATTTGTCATCCACGAAAGGATTAGTGAAGTAATTCTTAATACTTCTAATGGGTTTGGTCAAGATTCATCCAGACAGTGCACAACCTACAGAATCCAAGCAGAATAAGCAATGTGCTAAGAGTAGGCGGCCCACAAGCTGAGGTTTTTTTTGGTGAAAATCTAGAGGTGGCACGCGGTCAAGCCAACCGTTGACCGTGTTATATTGCCGTGGCGACTACCAAGCTAGTTTGACACATAAACTCCAACTCATGGGGAAGAAACTGGGACTTTGCCCTCTTTGCAAAAGTGAGATTTTACGTAAGTTATACCCCAAATGTGATTTCCCACAAGTAGTCATGAATTGAAAAAACTAAAATATTAATGAAATGAATTTAATTGCCAAATTCAATAAAGGTACACGTATCGGCGCCTAAATCCCACTTGTGTAATGATTTTTTTACATCATTAGTGTACCATATAACAGTCTGTATATATATAAGTCAAAAGAGAGTTTTGTCTTATTTTTAATAGCTCACCCAAATTGCCCATTGACTAAATATTAAAAAGATTAAAAAAATGGATACAATCAACATTTCCATTAACTTCCCATTTTTAACCACTTCCTGTTTTGCCACCACTTTTCTTTTAAATCACACCTACCAAGGTTCATGAACTTGCCGAAACGTTAGTCAGGGCATCATCATTTAGTTGTGAAATAAGACCGAGTTTGGAAAATCTCTATAGCGTACACATCTCGTATGTTTTTTCAAACACTTTTCTTCTCTTCCTCAAGTCTGATGTTATTTAATGTTTAGAGTTACATCGTTAGCTTGATAAGGTGAATTAATTAGGTGAGTATGTTCTCCAATTGTCATTCTGTAGAACCTGTGGATCAGAAAATTTCTGCAATATAAGAGTTTTATGGGATAGATTCTTGGTGTCTAGAGACTAAAAGGTACATATGCAATTTCCCTAGCTAATACATGAGATTTCATTTTTCTATACTTTTGTGCTAGACTATCAAACAACAACTTTAATAGGGCCTAAAGTGATTATCTGAGATAAAATTGAGATCCAAGAATAAAGGCTAAGTATGAGAAAAATTACTGTCCTATAAACGATTGTCAAATCTTCATAGCCTCAAGACAATCGTTTTCCGTCTCTTTGATCTGTGTCTGATATTATGACAACTGATGGTACAAAAACATGGCCGATTACCAATTTCTAGTATCAGATGATAGTGGCCGTAAGATTACGTTAATTTAAGCTACTATATATATTACATTAACACTCTGGGAACAGTCCTAGAATTGAAAAAATGTGGCTTGGAGAAGAAATGAAGGCTAATTTGTAGAAGATATAAGCTTAATGACAGATGCTAACTCATGAATAGCTATCAGTTTTAATATGTTTCATCGTAATTTTGTTATTGCACTCGATAGGAATAGCATAACAACCTAACCCGTTTCGCGTAAGTCAAACCCCGAAAAAGAAGCACACCAAGGTGGTGACAATCATCTTACTCATCAACAATGTCTCTCTCATTCGGTGAGGGACCTTGGAATGTTACAAACTTCCGTATTTAAATAATGACATTCCCATCAGTGTTGATCCCATATCGCACATCAATACTCCTCGTATTCAAGAAATGATTCAATTCATCCTTGCCTCTTCCATCATTATAAAAGCATGCTGGGAGTTATACCTCCCTCCCATCTCGGTCCCTCCCGTCTCAATAATCGCTCCCGAGAACACACACCAATTGGAGAGGTGGTATCATCTGCATTGACCTGCCCATACAATGCAAACTAAGTTTTCAAAACATATAAGTTTACCATAAAAGATGGTGACCATCAAGTTGGTGTTTATTACTTAGTATGAATAACTCAACAAGACCTTTTCCATTCAATGTGGGACTTTGGTTACAAATATACTGAAGATTCACGCCCATGTATCTTCCAATTAGCAACACTCAGCTACTATGATGACGGCTTGAGACTCGTCCTTACAAGTAGATCAAAAGACAACCATTAGTTTCTTATTCCCCAAAGTAGGAAATCTTCTTTGTGTTGCGTTTGGTCACCAGGAAGGAATAAAAGATCAGGTAAGATACAACAGGAATGAAGAAGAGAAATCCCTCCAAATTTCTTATATTAGGTCTTTTATACCAAAAAAAAAAACCAATTCAATGGCTAAAAGAGATATAATCTATTGACATTTTGGTGGACCTAGGATAAGATAGGATGATAAGTCCAATCTGAAATTCAATCATCAAAACACTCTATTCCTCAAATGACCTTAGAGGGGATTTTATAAATACAACTTAGAACTACTTTGCAAGCATAAGAAAATCCCATTATGCTAACCTTTTATTTTCCAAGACAAAGACCAATAATCCATAGACAAACCCATCGATACTAACGTTGACTCTAGACTCAAATGACTTTAGAAACAAAATACAATGATTGAGACTCAAAAATCTTGTGGAAGTGATTTTTCTAATAAGTAACACATAGAAATACGAAAGATTGCTCCTCGGATTTCCTAACCAGCATTGAGTATTTGGGGCATTACTTCCTCTAGAAGATTCAATTGAATAAACTTGACCGATTTGAAACTAGACAAATGAGGATCTCCGAACATATCTTATTTGCTTGTACCGGAACACGAAAGCCTCTCGAATGTCCGAACAAAATGACCCTAAGTTTTGCCAACAGAGATGCGCAAGCCTCCAAGCAATTTAGCATTCGTCGTTGGGTAACGCTTTAGTCCTCCTTATGATGATCCTTCATCAAGCTGACTCGTGTGGGAATTAAGGGTGCACAAGATAACCTGCGGAACCGGCAGAGTCGGGTAGGTTCAGGTGATATTGAGAGTGGCAGAATAAGTTTCAGGCTCTAAAATTTCGAAATCGGTAAACACATGGTAGGTTCCAAATTCCCACTCTATACTTACCTTATACCATGTACTCTAAACGCTCTACGGATTCTCATGTAGAAAAATACAGGATACCCTGAACAACATTTGAGTGAATATACATGTGTGCCAAACTATTCATCATTTTCTCTTTTCTTTACAAGTTTTTCACCTTTAAATGTGCGAAATAGTTGGAGGAAACATATCCGTCATTTCTATTTCACTTTCGATCTTATCGCGTCTTTGTTTTATGTTACCGTTAGACATGACCACGTATTTTATAATGTAATGGCATTTGTGTTTTACGTCAAATACGGTATGCGTTAATAATTAGAATTGTGGCATTTTTTTAGCCAAAAAAAAATAGAAAAGTACAGGGTACCTAAAATCTAGGAAATTAACAAATTCTAAATTTGAGGGTGGTTCTAAAACTCTATAGGATAGATTCCGGGAAAATTATTTAAAAAGTCTTATTGCAATTGTGTCAAATCAGTGTTAAGCCTTTTTTATGCCAATTGAGCCCTAAATACTTTGCATTTGTGTATATTTAGTCCATTTGACCAATTTTGGCTGGCCAGCATTGACAGTGCTAATGTAGATAATTTTTAATATTTTTTTAATATTTTTTCTAATTTTTTAATTATTTTTTTCTTTTTCCTTTTTTTTTCTTTCTCTTTCTTTTTTTTTCCTTCCTTCTTTCTCTGACCGGTTGCTAAATCGAGGCGACCGGCTAGAGGCGAGGGCCGGCAAGTCAACCTTGCCGGCCACTGGTGAGGCGAACCTCGCCAACCCTCGCCTTTGACCGGTTGCAAAATGAGGGAAAAAAAAAGAGAAACAAAAGAAAATAAAAAAAAAATTTCTAAAAAAATATTAAAATATTATTTAAAATTGTCTACGTCAGCGCTAGCTGACTAAAATTGGTCGAATGGGCTGAATTGGTACAAATGTAAAAGGTTTAGGACTCACTTGGTACCAACAAAAAATTTAGAACTTAATTGGCACAATTACAATGGATTTAGGACTTTTTTTTGATAATTTTCCTGATAGATTTCAGGTGTTGGCAAAGTAGAGCCAATATCTCTTGATACTGCAACAGCCCAATCTCAACCAAGCCCAATGATGCAAGTAGAGTCGCATGGGCTTTGCACTCATGCGTCGCGACCACCTGAACGAACCGAAAACAAGCGGGCCGTGCACAAGACGACGGCTGCTTCTCCGACAAATTCCCCGCCCACCCCACTTTCCAGAGAGTTCGGGGACGCTCGTGGAGCTTCTTCCATATAATGTCATCCATGGAACTATCGGATGCGAACGTTCTTGATGCTCTCTCTCTCTCTCTTCCTGTTACGTAACTGGGGTCGGTCTTGATCGGCGGAGATGTCGGCGGCGTACGAGAATGTGGTGGCGGGGAGGCTGAAGCTGAAGGGGAAGCCCCTGGACGTGAAGCTCCAGGGCGGCGCTTGCGGCAGTGGGATGATCTCCAAGAAGGCGAAGAACAAGAAGAAGAGGCACGTGGGTCGTCTTCTTCCGCGACTCTCTGAGTCCGCGACAGGTTAGCTCGCTGCCTCCTCGGCTCTTCATGCGCAATGCCTGAGTCATTCGATATCGGATTAGTATCTTTCTCGAAATATTATGTGTCTGCGGTAATGATGTCGTGATACCCTTTGGGAAATGCTGATTTTTGGCTCTTGAGTGTTTGAGGACGTGCTCAAACGTGCTGCATGGGAATCGTCACGTATGTTTGTTTGAATACGGGTGATGTTGAGAGAGTGCCATTGCGAACTTGTTGAAGTTCGTTGACTGTGCTCTGGAAATGTAAATGTCTCTGCTTTGAAGGCGGTTTTTCGATTCTTCGCAGTGTATTGGTGCGTGATCTTTACCATTCTCAGCGGTCTAAACTAGTCCTGTAATTGATGCGCGCGCATAAAAAAAAGAACAAAGATTTCTATTTGGGACACATGGACTTCTTGGCCATTTCGTTTTGTGTCCATTCCACGGTTTTGAAGGATCCACTCGCCTCGGCTGCTGTAGGTTTTAGGATGTCTCGAGTTCACGAGTTAAACTATTATTGTGCCATATTGCCTGGGGAGTGATCTGCCCTGATTTAAATACCGCCGGTGCCACCACCTGTTCTTCTGATCCTCATCCGTGCATCAATGCTACAAACCTCTGCTTTTGGCTTTGCTGGAGCGCGTGACTTGCAATAACACTGCGAACTACCGTCACTTTTACTAGTAGTAGTATTCCAGCCAGTTTTAATTTACATAACATACTTGTTTGATCAATTTAGAAGGCGGTGGTATTATCTTGGATAGGGAGATTTGAAATAAACAACTAGACTACTGCGCTGTGTGCACATTTTGTCGAAATCATGCGTGCGAGGGCTATAGTACCCTGTTTGATACCATAGTTGATGGGTTATACCCTAAATAGAATCAAAACAATCACATAAATAATAGAAAAATTGACACATAAGTTTACCCAGGTTCACCCCAGAATAGGGCTACGTCCTGACAAAAGGATTCTACTATGATATTTAGTTTTTCAACCATTACAATGATCTCTTATATGAGTACAATATATATAGGACTTAAAATCGGCCCAAAGCCCAAGCCTATCTGAATCCCTTTGATCTCATAACAAACAGGTCAGCAGACCCGTTGTTGTTTCGGGGGCGCTGCCCCCGAGCCCCCGTCCGCTCACCGGGGAGCGAAACCCCTGCCCACTGTCCGGGCAGCGGGACCCCCGACATTCGGTGCGTAGATGTCACATGTCGTCGGTTCATACTTCGATTTCCCTAAGCTCACGTGGGCATGCCCGGTATGAGAAATAAGGGTCCCCAAAGTATTCGCCAACTCCAAAGTATTCGCCAACTCCAACAATAGTGAGGTTCTCATCGTCTCTTTCATAAATGTGGACAATGTCCAGGTGACATGAATTGCATAACGGTTAGCTCTTCTCTTATGTCTTCAGTTGGTTATAATCTTTGAAGTTTCTCTAGGAACTCAACCGTGCTTATCGTGTACTGTTGAGTGTTCTCTGTTTGGCTAGCTTCGATGCCTATGAAGAACTTTTGTGTACAGACGTAAGTTGTGAGTTTGACGCCATATCTTGGTGTCTACTACTGACAATACCGCCAATAAAAATCGCCTCCTCGGGTGAGCCTGATCAAAGATTGTGCTTTGTCGGCTTCTGTTTGCTCCTACTGTCTGCTTACACCTTGGTGGTGGACAGTAAAGTCGGGTTGTTTTATCCAGTGAAGTTTATGTCCTCTCCGCTATTTAGTCTCTGTTCTCACATGGGCTTCTCTGTTTTTTTTGGAGGTTGTCAGTTGGGAAGACTTCGCTGTCCGCAGATAATGCCGAGAGAATAAACGATGAAGGCCAAGATGATGGGAGGAGACTCACTTCGGCGTATGACGACCGCCTGACGCCAGAGGAGAGGCGGTTTCTCCAGCAGACGGAGAAGATCGAATTGGAAAGGCTGGCGAAGAATGCCAGCAAGTCGCACCGCGATCGGGTCCAGGAGTTCAACCAATACCTGGCGAATCTCAGTGAACACTACGACATTCCTAAAGTCGGGCCTGGCTAAGTAAAAACTCCGCACTCATTACCATCTGTCAGAAACAACACAAGTTATTGTGGAGAAAGGAATTCCATTAGAATGGAACTTTGCTGATTATGGTATGCAAAAAGCAACTGATGCAACTTTTATGTTCTGCGTTATGATTGTGGTCTACAGCCTTTGCTTGGGAGTGTCTTTACAGGCGATTTCCTTGGGGTTTATCGGTATGCTAACCCTTTTAGGCTCTTTTCTCCATTGAACTATGCAACATTAGAGTCTAAAGCATTTTTTTTTAAAAGAGGAGGTTTAGTCAGTAGGAGGATCGATGTTATATCTATGTTTTGCGTGAAAGCTTTCTCTTGAGAAAGATTTTGCCTTGATTAGAATTGAAGTTCCTTGTTTTTGCTTTTGGGCCAAACAACATGGGTAGCGCAGTTGGTTAGAGCATATTTGGGATTGTGTGGTTAGGCGCACTAGTCCTAGGTTCGATTCCCCAGCTGAGCACTTGTGATTTAAGTGGGGGGCCATGGCGGTGGGTTGCTGTGCTAATCTCCCCCGAGGAATAGTAGAGGTGCACGCAAGCTGGCCCGGACACCTCGGTTACCAAAAAAAAAAAAAGTGAGATGCCCATTTTGCTAATAGCTTTATTCGACTAAAGACTTGCAAATTAACTTGCCTGAATAGCTTTCCCAAGCCCAAGAAGAGAAGACTCCAACTTGATAATGGTGTTAAGGGACAGAATAAACTCTATCGTAAGAAAGAGAGATAAAGTCACCTTAGAGTAATGGTTCGATCACCAAGGACCGAACCTAATGATCCGTTTACCAACTAGTATAGGTCTAGTCTATAATTCCAGAGATAAACCTTTTTACACTGAAGTAATCCAAAAGCCATGAAGTGAAAAGAAGGATATGCTTGCTTGCTGTAACTGTAGGGGCTTACCATTACTTTAAGGGAGGTACTTGTGTAAGGAATGTGGCATCTCTTGGAAGAAAATGGCAAAAGACTTGTTGGTTATAGTCTTGGTTGGTCAAGCAACACAATAACTATGACAGAGACGATTTTGTCAATATCCCGAACCTTCAAACCTCAAATTGTGGAATTCTTGGTTGATCAAGCAAAAGTTGTTGTGCCCTCCATTCTATGGAGCGAACAGAAGGTGCTTTGTAAGAATGTCAAACAAGGTTGTGCCATACAATTTCAATTCTTTCTCTAATTTCGGAACTGGAGAGAAAAATTAAGAAAATGAGTGCTTTTGTGCACACGACTGGCGGCTCAGCATAGGCTTGACGATATCGTCCAACAAGGGAACGTGCCTCGCACCTAGTTTAACAGAAGAAAAGTGCACTTAATTGCAATATCGCATCGTGATGCGGCGGCAATTTCTTTCTTCTCTTTGAAGTTGCGGGATACCATATCTAGAAAGAAAGGCCTTAAGGCGGCCGGGCATAGGGTGTGATGAGAAGGTTGAGGTACCTAAGCAAGATAGTCGTGAAAACATACTTCAAGTCACCTCGACAAGAAGCATCGCAGCCTAGGGTTGGGCCACCTCCAATGTCGATCTGCAGTGAAAGTAGTTTTCAATGGGGTTTCTGAATTTTGGACCAGAGCTTTTCCCCATGTTTGTTGTGTATCCTTTCTGGTATTTGTTAATTTGTCATGAGGTACTAAACTTTTTGTCCATACAAGAAATAGCCATTTCATGCTTTGTGTGCTTTATGTTTAATAGTATTACCAAGTCTATACTTAAAAGGAAAACATGTTGTGATCACTATCATTCAATGGAACAAATCACTTACCTTGAAAATGATTTCCATGCAAAATCATTTCCTTGAATTCATAGAAATCAATGCACCTTTAAATTCATAGAAAATCGTATCACATGACAGCATAGAGCTCATGACTAAACTCCTACTAGAATTTATGGATCTTGTATGCATAATTTAATAAATTCCGAAATATTTTAGATGGTGTAATTAAATGCAAATTCTTTTGCGCGAAAAGAACAAAGTGCAAAAATGGCAGCCTTAAGACTATGTTTGGAAAATGATTGAGCGGGGGAATGAAAATTTAGGTGGAAAGTTCAAAAAATTTTGAAATTTTTTTAGAGGTAGCGGAGAGATGGAAATTTGAAATTTTTGGCAATTGTCTCTCCATTTTCTCTTCCCTTCCCATATCCAAACATAGCATGAATGTTGCCACAGGAAGATTGAATGATCGAAGAAGAGTTGGTTCACGTCACAAAAAATGTTAGGGAATTGATCTTACCAATTGAATTGGTTGAGAATGAAATGACACTCGTTACAAATAACGACACTTTCGGCATACTTAATAAGAAACGACATCGGCGAAGCTGGCTCATTCGCCATTCCTAGAGGCAGCATGTATGCGCATCTACGTATTCCTGTAATACCAACTAGAAATGCCGAGGCGAGTCCACATTGGAGACCGGTTTAGGGTCATGGTCACGAGTGTTTTGCTGCGGACGTTTGACGAAGAGCTCGAGCAACAAAACATTCGAGAATCTTGTCACGGCAGAGTCGACATTTCATTGGCGCCGCCAGAAAACAAACAGCGAACCTCGGGATCCCTTGCCCAACCTGATGAAATCGTCTATGTATGTGATTTGCAATTTGACTTCACTCTCTCCGCCATACTGGAACTCCATTTCTCCCACCTTCAGCTTAGGCGGCTCGAATATGACTCGAATCCATCTATCATCAAGAGCCTTCAATTTCCCTGCAAGCAGCAAACCAGTACAGGTCAGTTCGGAATTCCACATTGGATGACTTCCCGATTAGGCGTAAACACAGTCTATCTCAGAGCGCCTCGGTGCTTTGACGGGGTCGAATAACGCCGGTGGGTGAACATGAAAACACAAAAGATATGAAGCACAGCGATAAGCAGATGGAATTATACCAAGCAATTTGCTGTCAAAAACCCTCAGATCTATAAATTAGCACAGGAAGAGATAGTTCACCAAGAATATCCAAGCTAACATTGCGGGCGCACAAATTCTCTAGTGAAATCAAAACTACATCTCAGTACAAGTGGCTTATCTAATGTAGAAATGAAATGATGCCGACGAAGGACAAATGGTAATTCGGTACACTAGCTACAACGATTTGCAAGCAAAGGACATCAATAACAAACTTTTGACTATCAAGCAGAAACGGTAAGGGCACGCCTGATGGATATTCATGCACAGAAAACATACAAGACTCATTCAAACAGCATTACATCGCAGACCTTGAGAAAGGACCGTCTCATGCGAGAGCCATATGACTGATTCTTGCGTCAAATTTGTTCGTTAATGAAAGCCATTGCTTTTATTGCAGCAAGCTAGGTTCTGTTCGATTGCAAATCTGCATCATAGCACTGCAGGCTTTCTCTAAGACACAAAAATGTGAGCATCGGATGGTGTGTTTTTTGACAGTCCAGCGGCATTTATCCCCAAGATTTAGATGTTTTACTCTGTTCCTGAAGTGCTTAAAAATTGCGATCATTAGCGGGCTCACCTTTCAATGAGACCTCTCCGTCGATGAAGTTTAAAGCAGAGAAGGAAACCTTGTTCCTCACAGTGTCAGGAGCCTCAAGAGCCTGAATCATTTCCTTGGTTCTGAAGAAAACCCGACCCAGTGCACTCCTGTAGCCGCCGCCAGGTGATGTTGGATTTGAACAGTAGACGACTTCCCATTCTGCAAAGTCGAAATGAGTTAATTACTATGAATGGTAATCGTGACTACATACCAAAAGGTTAATTCCACTCTACCAGATTCAAATTGGGTTCTGTTCATTGAGGAAATCAGTATAACATGGCATTTCGATTTACCCGACAATTCTCCTTGTTTCTGTTCCTAATGTGACGGATAGATAAAGTGCAGGTTTTTATGTAAGAATGGCGAGAACACCTACATTCAAAATTGGCTTTAAGCTAACCCAACTGCCTCAGAGTAGTGCAGTAACAATCTCAAATGCATATTACTGTAAGCGCAGCAGATAATAATGTAATCACAGCGAGAAGGTTTCTAAAATTCAGGACAGCCATTAAAAAGAAAAATCAGTGCTCCAAGATTGACAACAGGATTAAACAGGTCAATCAACAGTCTTCCGACATTAGAAAAGCCAAGAAAGGTCCGGGGAGGTCAGAAAACATGACAAAGAGAGGGGAAAGAAAGGATCGTCGGGAACTGTAGAAAACTGTGGTGCAAGGAAATAATTTAAGATGATCCAGTGAGGTAAAGAAACAACCTTGCATATCGATGTTCCGCGCTTTCTTGAAATGAATGACAAATCAAAAGTAAGTCGATCAGTGCATTACCTCCAAATATAAGAGGCGACTTCACCGGTTGGCTCACACAGTACTTGTGCAATTCCTGAGCAACTTCAGCTACCTGTTTGTGCTCTTCTTTTTCAAGTGAAACTCCACCATCGGATTGTAACACCTGGTTTTGTCACGATGGATGAATAAATCAAGTCGTCAAACTAAAGAACATTCAGGAAAGCAACACGATGCGATCGATGCATTATTGCCTCAATAACAATACACATCAACTTGATTACATGACATCTGCCGATCGAAGTTTACATTGCTTGGATTCAAAGATGAGCATTCAAACATTCTTTTATCGAGATCCAATCACCTCAAGAGCTAGAAGAAGAATCAGCTGCATTATATTGCGACTCCCTGGATATGTTACCGGCACCCTCGACAGCAGATATCTAGACAATTTGTTGAGCAATATAGTAACGCTAGATATACTAACTTATGTGATACACTGCAAGTAGGCATTTAAACACATCAACCAATATTCCTCATCATAACATCCTTAGACGAGCGTGGACTGAAAAGACATCATGAAAACCCCAATTGAATGAACAAAATCAAGAAACAAACCTTCATACTCCTAGCCAATTCACTCATTGCAGAAAATAACATTAACAAGCTAGAATAAGTCTCATTTCAACCTAATCAGTTCGTCGAATAGTTTCAGTAAACAAAGCTAGAGTACTCCAAAGGTCATGTTAAGATGCGAGGCCAAGAAAATCATTCAATGCACAATGTCGTCCTTGAACTTTGGCTTAATGTGCTACGTCATCTCCCAACATTTAATTTGTTCAATGTGATCCTTAAACTATTGGTAAATATTCAATATAGTCCCCTTATTTGGCTAAACGACAAATAAGACGTTATTTGGTGACATGAAGGAAAAAAACAAGAAGAAGAAAAAATAGGACGTTAATATATCCATCGTTATTTAATGACATGTATCATTATATCCTAATTTAAAATGAATAATTTACTACAATAATTCACGTGTGACTTCTTTTTTCTCTTTTCTATCATCCATCATTCAAACTTAACAGACTAGGAGTCATATCAGCACATTCTGCAAACTTTAATTAATGGAAGGACAATATCGATCACTTTCATATAGTCTGGGGATTAAATTAAACATTTACTAATAGTTCATGGACGACATTAAATAAATCAAAAGTGCAGAAATGACATTACACATTATATTAAAGTTTAGAGACATGAGAATCATAGTCCCTCGAAGAATTAATGTTGCTTGGCGGCTTGGACGTTGGTGTTTTAATGACGGTGGTCAGTGCCATTAATGTAGGTTGGTGAGCATTTTTTATGATGCATATCTCGACTCGTCTAACAACTTAAGGTAATCCAAGAAATGTGCCGTTAACTGGTGTCGGGCACTTGTTAAGCATACTTAATTTAGAATAACTCAATTTTCACAGTATCAATAGCGTTTTATTTAATTGACTATTTTCAATAATTTACGCAATCACATCTTAAACAGAGAAATGAAGAGGAACCCCCTTTCTTTTCCTCCACGAATCAGCAAGAGGAGACTGCAAAAACTACGGCAGGGTGCGCCGGAATCTGTGAGAGCCTCACCTTGGAGAGGATCGAGGCGACGAGATCGTCGGGACGGCCGGTGTCCACGCCGCCGCCGCCGCGGCGAGGGCCCGAAACCGAAACGGCGGCGCGAACCCGAGAGCTCCGCCGCTGGAGGCACCGGAAACGGAGGAGATGCGAGGTGGGTTTCGGTCGGGAGCTCCCGGGAGACCTGGTTTTGACGGCGTTGGCGGCGGTGCAGTTGACGGCGGCGGAGAAGAGAGCCGAAGGAGCGGCGGCCATGGCGCAAGAGAGAAGCAAGCTCGCGAGAGATCAGGAATGGCGACCGGAATGTTTTCCTCTCTTTTTTTCCGGGCTTTTTTCGTTTTTCGGGTGGCGGACGGTCGCGTCCGCTGCCACGTCAGCGCGGAATCGCGGAGTGGGGCCCGATTTCGAGGAATGATCGGCTCCTGCCGCGCCACGTGGACCATGTGTTTTTCAGAAGATTATCCGTGGTTTGATAAGAGACGAGCCGGGGCCATGGGGGAGGCACGTGCACGAATTTGATGTCCAAATTATTTTGTTGATTTTTTTTTTTCGTTTTGGTCGAATAATTTATTTTGTTGAATTAAGAGGCGTGTATACATGTAAAATATTTTTTTATATTAACCGAGAAAGAGTGTCATACAAACCCGAACCGAACCGAAAATTTCGAGTCTCATTCAGTTCAAGTAATAAGCAAAGGAATTTGGGTAGTTTGGCGGTTCGACTTGGTTTAGGCGAGGTTGCGGATTTTATTTTCTTTTTCTTTTCTTCTTCTTTTCTTCACTTCATTGTAGGAACTCGCTCGCCCAAGTTGTTTTTTTTTTTTTTGTCAGTCCTACTCCTACTTTTACTCTTACTCTACCTCTCATCTTACTTTCAGACTTTTGCCCTACCTCTCACAGAGCGTGAAAGTCGAAACCCACACTTGAAAACTACACGTTCCCATCCCTAATCCCCTGAAAAGGTGGAAAATTGAACTCCCCACCTCCTTCTTCTCAAGTGAGAAGAGTGGCCACTGGGGCAACCTTTAGTAGTTGCTCGCCCGAATTTGCCAAGTCAAAACGGAGGAATGGACCTCACCCAACGGAATAGCCCCTTCCAGCCGGAGATGGGCATGGCACGGCCAGAGAATCTCCCTCTTCCCTACCCATGCGAACTCTCGAGCAGAGAAGCATCGTAGCATGATTCTCTATTCTCATCATCTCCTTAGCAGCTCACGAAACCCCCGCCATCTCTCTCTCTCTCTCAGCACGATACTTAGTGGAGCTGGACTTGTTTACTATGTTCTTTGGTAAAAATCGACGGTCCTTATCAGCTTCGGAGCAGCGAAGCAGAAGCAGAGGCTATTACTCTTGCAGCTTTCCCTCGAGAGCTTTCAGAACTGAGGAGAAGGCGGCGGCAGCCTATGACAGCACTCACAACTCCATATTTCCAGAGGAGAGAGAGAGAGAGAGAGTGTAAAGCCCAAAGAAAAAAGAGGAAACCCGAAACCCAGACCGAACCGTGTTTTCAATTTGGGTCAAAACATGCACACTTCTATTTCGGTTCGTGTATCATTGGAACCCAAACCATTGAGTCACTAGACACGTGTTCCATGTACCTCCTATGTTTTTTTTATTTCTTTTTATATTATGTATAAGATTTGGGAAAAAACACCAAACCGAACTTTCATGCTGACACATTCGAACTTTTTTGTGACATGCCGACTTTCTTTTTGTGACACATTTACCCCAATGTATTTAGTCCATGGGCATTTTCGTCTTTTTGCTCTTTCTTTTTTTTTTTTTTTTTTCCTTTCCGTGAGGCGCCATCGCCGGATCCGGCGAGGGCCCTCGCCGGCGTCAGCGAGGCGGCCCTCGCCAGATCCGGCGAGGCGGCCCTCGCCGGCGTCAGCGAGGTTCGCCCGCGGGCGGCGAGGGGCGGCCCTCGCCCAGGCTCGAGCGAGGTCGACCCTCGCCGGCGTCGGCGAGGTCGACCTCGCCGGCGGCGAGGGTCGACCTCGCACGAGTCGGGCGAGGGCCGCCCTTGCTCGCCCAGGGCGAGGCGACCCTCGCCGGCGTCGGCGAGGTCCGCCTCGCACGGGCGAGCGAGGCGACCCTCGCCCGGCGCCGGCGAGGGCGGCCCTCGCCAGACGGGCGAGGGCGACCTCGCCGGCGCCGAGCGAGGGTCGCCCTCGCCGACGCCGGCGAGGGCCGCCTCGCTCTCCGTGCGAGGCGGACCTCGCCGACGCCGGCGAGGGTCGCCCTCGCCTGGGCGAGCGAGGCGGCCTCGCCCGGCTCAGCGAGGTCGACCCTCGCCCGACGCCGGCGAGGGTCGACTCGCTCGAGCCGGGCGAAGGCCGCCTCTCTCGCCGGCGAGGGCGAACCTCGCCCGACGCCGGCGAGGGCCGCCCTCGCCGGATCTGGCGAGGGCCGCCCTCGCTCTACGCCGGCGAGGGCCCCCCTCGCCGGAAAGGAAAAAAAAAGAAAAAAAAAAAAAGAAAAAGCAAAAAAGACGAAAATGCCCATGGACTAAATACATTGGGGTAAATGTGTCACAAAAAGCAAAGTTCGGGGTTTTTGGTGTCACAAAAAAAAGTTCGGGGTAAATGTGTCACAGATGGCAAAGTTTGGGGTTTTTGGTGGTTTTTTCCCTAAGATTTGAATTGGGGAGTAATAATAAAATTAAGGGCTAACTCCACCGAAAATACCAAACTTGTATACTCATGCCACATTTACCTTAGGTTAATTTTTGTGTCACAATCCCAAATCGGTACACACGTGCCACATTTACCCAAATTAATTTTCGTGTCACAAAAAATCTTAAAACCGGTCCACCCATGCCACATTTACCTCGAAAAATTGGGATAAAAGTGGCATGAATGTACCATTTGGAGTAAATGTGGCACTCGTGTACTAATTTGGGATTTTTGTGACACAAAAAAATAATTCGAGATAATTGTGGTACGGATGTACTAGTTTGGAATTTTCGGTCGTATTAACCCTAAAAAATTAAAGCAATCAAATATTGAAGATGGAATAAATTGCATGAGTACAGAAAATTCTTCATATGAGAAACGAAAGAAAGGTAATGTATATGTACATAACCGATTTTTCTAACATTAAACTGAAAAAAATAAATGAAAGGAATATAATTTGTTGGACTTGACAAACTAATTTTCTTCTCGGTATATTAGGTAAATATTGATTGATCAGACCTTCATTACTGCTTGTGCCATTATCCTTCCAAATGTGCATTTGGAGTCATTTGTTTGTCAATCTTGGTATTGAAGATGTGGCAATTTTTTCTTACACTATGAGATCTGCTAATTGCATCCCTTTTTGTTTTGGTCAAAATATGAATAAGTTATCCAATTTGATTTTGAGGCAAATTGAGAGAAGAAAGAGATTTGTTACCCTATTACGCAATTGGATCAATTCATCGATAAGGTATACGATAGCTTTTTCACTCTCTTTTGAACAATGTCACATGAACTTGTCCGTCCTAAAGCATGTACCTATTTGTCAATTTATTGCAGGAAATAAATCATATTAGAAGTGAAATTGCAAAACACCAAAAGTTACAAAAACATTTGTTTTTTTATCTATATATGAATGCCTCAACCAAATTTTTGAAATGACGTCCTACTCTCCTGAAATACGTCACATTAAAGTTTTCTTTTGTAAAAACCGGTTGGATTTACTCATCAAAATATGTTTTTTAATTTCCTCCTAATCAGTAGAAATTGTAAGAGTCTGCTAGTTACGACGAGAATTTCCATACAATTTGAACCTCGAATGGATACATAATTGAGCCTCAAATGATGGATGCATTTTTTTTTTTTGTAACCCGGGAACCCCCCGCACGGCCGACAATCGGAGAGGTAAACCCGGGGTGACGCTAGCGCAGGACCTACCACCATGACGTCACGCTTAAGAATCCCTAACGACAGCGCTGGGATTCGAACTCCTTCCCTTCGTGAGGGGATAATCAAAACTCCCAGTACAAAAGATATACCCTACTTTTGCTACGCAGTCTGATCCATGGTCTTAGAAAGCGCTAATCTATATGCCTCTGAATTCCAAACTCGATCAATTCGTAAAATATTTTGGGGTGCTTAAGCTTGGTAAATGAAAATTCTAGGTGTAAAGTGGGAGATCAATTCATCACTTGACCCGAGAGCACAACAATATAGCAAATTGCAATGAGTAAATACCACAAATGGCAATAGAGAAACCAACATATTATTTAAATTCTTTTAATATAATGGAATCCAAAAGTCACATGTGTAGATCGTTATAATCATGTGCAATGAATAAAGATATATGCCATGGGCCGACGTTCAATTTAATACTCACATAGACACAGATGAACATACTAATCTGATGATATGCAAAGAAGACACCCAGGTGAGTATCTATTTCTTACTCATCACTACTCATGACTTATATTGACTAACAAAGCATCATCACCACTAACATTTGGGGACGGAATAATAATATATCGACTAATGAGGCATCATCATCGCCAACTCGTGGGGGACAAAATTATAAATACATCTTTGTCATGCCACTCTGTCCATCCATCATTAGTAACTTATACATTAGCGATAATAAATACACCATTATACATATGTATGATGATGGCTATTCTACAATATCACATCACAGGCTACACAAGTCATATCGAGCTACACAAGCCACATCATTTTGTGTACGAATCATAGGACTTTATATACTCTCAACCTTGAAAAAACCACTTAACAAATAAAACATTTTTCTTTTCCCAGAGTCTTGTACAAATATACCTATAGGGAAGTTTGCTCTCTGACTAATAGATCATGGTAAAGATCTTCATCATATGATATCATTGACATGCAAATCATGATAACATCATAACAATGTGTGCAATTATACAGTGCGGATATTATCACATTCTTTTCCATACTAACGATAGAAACCAGATATCCATTATCATCATTTGCAAACCAACACTTAATATTCATTAAACAATCATTATTCAATTCAAGAGTTCACGACATTTTCAAATTATATAAGTTTTTGTTTATTGAAAATCAATATGTATTCCAAGCCCCGAGATCAGTTACACATAAGACACTTAGGGCGCAAATGATAACAATTTTGTTTTTGGGAACAATTTCTGGCCAGAGATAATCAATTTATGTTCCCTGGACGAGTTTGATAAAGATACAAAATCTCTGTTCCCGAATAGAAAATTCGTTAAATAACTGCATAAAATTTCTATTCCCTAGAACTTGAAAAAGAGGAAGAATGCCTAAAGTGTCATACAATCTAAGATTGCAAACGTAATATAGGCTAG